TTTATTAATTCTTATTTTTAATATTTTTAATTATTTTAATTAATTGATTTAATTGATTTAAAGAGTTTTAATAAAATGATCAATTATTGGATGAAAAGGAAATTATTATGGAATGTAGATTTTAAATTTAGAAAAACTTGTGAATTAACTAATTGATGAATTGGTTAATAAATTTTGTTATTTAGTTAATGATTTTGTAGTTAAGTTATTTAATTAATTAACAATTTTGATAATTTATTGTCTTTTTTACCTTAATATCTTTATAATATTTATTATTTTTTTATTATTTTTTATTTTTATTTTTAAAGAAAATTTATCACGCCAAGCTTTCACTAAGTCACAAGAAAGATGTTGAGAGTTGCCAATAATTTGAGAAAACACCAAAGCTTTAAAAGAAACCAATTCCTCAGATATTATTGATTTATTAAAATGGTTATTAAATAAAAATATATTTAATGAAAAGTATTTGTGTTTATAAAGTGAAAAATAGAATGGTGTGCAGTATTTATTTATTGTTATTTTATTATTTCTCCAAGATTCTTTTTTGTGGTGGTAAAATTTCTGATAAAAGAAGTGATGAAAGTTGTGATAATTATTTGTGAAAAAAGGGATTGACTTGTATTTATATTTCTCCAAGGTTGATAAAAAAAGTAATGGAAGTTGTAATAATTCTTTGTGATGAGATTAAGGATTGGTTTGTATTTTTCAACTTTGTACTTTTGTTTTATGACCTTTCTTTTTATTTTGATTATGAAATTATCATAGTAAAAGTAATTTAAGATTGAAAAGATCCAAGATAATGCCAAAAATTTTTCTGCATTTTTTCTGAATTTAAATATTCAAAGATTAATTATTATTATTATAAATATTTATTTCTGAAATTTTTATTGCAATGGTTTAACTGCAAATATATCTTCTCTTGAAGAATAAATTTCAATATTGTGAGTATCATAAGTATTTTGAGCATGGAATTTATTAATTGTATTAATGAAACCATCTTTTAATTCTTTTTTTTATTATTACAAAAAATTTGTTCAAGGTGATTCTTAGACATTTTTATAATTTTTCAATTTAATTGTTATTTTATTTTTAAATAAATAATTAATAATTAACTAATAATACTATGCACAATACACAATACACAATACATAATATAATAACATAAACTTATTATACTAACTTCATAAATTTTATAATGTTTTAATTTAGAAATCTGGTAAATTAAATAGTAATAACAATAATAATACCATTCAGTAAGTATTATTATTATAAAATTTATTAGGAGAAGTCATGGTAGAACTAGAGAAGATTGGTATGAAACAACAGGTTGTAAATTAATAGTGAACTTTTCTTAAATATCCTTTAAAAAATTTTATTTTTGTGAAGATATAAACACATTATAATATTTTTCATTTAGGTGGTTTAAAATGTGTTAGAGAATACAGGTGAGGTAAATTTGAAGATAAATGAGATTCTAAAGTAATCATTGAACCACCTTAAACATGAATACAATTAATTATTTTTTAACGAAATCTCATTCTTATTTTCTTTATTTCCACATAGTAAATGTATAATCATAATATAAGAATTCCAGCTCAATATTAATCCTTTTTTGGTGAAGTCACATCAAAATCACAGTATGAGACACTTTCTCACAAAATGCTTTATATTATTGAAGTAATTATTATAAAAATAAATGGTAACTTTAAATCACGCCAGTGGTGTTGTACACCATATCATATAATCACATGATAGATAATATCACGGGTTTAATTAATGAATATTATTGGTAAATCATCTTGTATTAATTAATTTAAAAAATAAACAGACGCACCACAAAACGTCATCTTATCACAAAACGTCGTCATACCACACCATGTATAACGCACCATTTTTTTTCCACATTTCTTTTTTCCAGGCTTCCTCCTCTACTTCTTCAAATCTTCTTTCCAACTTTGCTACTGAAATTCGTGGTGGTGATAATTATCCTGAAGTACCGTCATTTGATCAAAATAACATTAATGACCTCAACTTAATTGAAAATCTGGATGATATTTCCTTTAACGAGCTTAATGACAGATCACTTTATCTGGTAACAACAGAGATGGCTTTTGATAATTGGATAAAACTTGATGAGTATGTAGTGCCAGAGGTGTTATTATTGTAAAAAAACAATTAACTTGTTTTTAATTTAGATGGATTAAAAACTATGGGTTAGAGCAAGGTTTTACTCTTACGATAACTCATAGTGAGAAAGATAAAAATGATAGAATACCCCAGTGGCATATTTATGCATGCACCAAAGGTAGAAAATATGTGACAAGAAAAGAAGCACATACCAAAAATAGTCGTAATTCAGGTCATAATTCTGGTAACTGCCAATTTTGTATTAACACCTACCGTTGGAAGAATGACAATATGGTTTATATTACGAAGGTTGAAAATAATCACAATCATAAACTTGTTAATAATATCATTGCTCTTGCGTCCAGTTATCAAAAGTTCACTCCTGAAATGCAGGATGATGTAAGGTTACTTGTAACATGTGGTGTACAGTCTGATGCAATTGTTGAAATGTTACAACACAAAAATTTGGAAATGTATATCTATAATCGTGATGTATATAATTTGATTAATCAATTTCGCTGTGAAAAAAACTAAGTTAAAAGTGAAGCTGGTTCAGTATATCTTAATCTTATGAAGCAACAGAATAAAAATTTCTCTTTCCACGTTGATGCACAGTTTGAAGGACAAGACAATCATCTCGTATGACTCTGCTGGATGCATTCCAGCCAACAAGAATTATGGACCCATTTTCATAATATTGTTTTCCTTGATACTGTTAAGCGCAATCTGTCAATGTAATTAGAAGGTATTGTTTATTTACTAAGACTTTAGGAATTTCTACTCAAGTTTATAGATTTGTAATTTCAAAGGATTCTCAATTTATTTAATAATTTTGATACGTGAGTTCTTTGTTAGCAATGTGGAGTTTTATCGCACCAAGTTAGTTTGTGACTTAGCTCAGTGCAAAGAATAGTATAACATCAAATAATAACAAAAGGATAAG